GGGGGTGGGCAGCTGCCTGGTGCAGACAAAGGGATGTCACCGGCCCCACCGCCGCGTCCCGGGGATGCGCTCCCGAAGGCCGTACCGCGCTCGCTCCGGCAGAGAAAGCGTGCGAGAGAAACCAGGCGACAGAAGGGGCCTTGGGAAACTGCATCTGGGGAGCTGGTAGTTCCAGGCTGCGCCCAGACGGCCCGGTTTAGCAGCACTTGCAGGGCCTCCTGCGTTTAAACAGCTCTGCAGCTGGGGGGTTGCCTCCACGTCACCCGGTGGCAACAAGTCTCTGAATTTTGTTACGCTGCTTCTGGTGAGATGGTGAGATCTGGCAGCGTTGATGTTCATTCCCAGCCTTACGTGCACAAACGGATTAGCCTGTGCAGCAGAGGATTTTTGATCAGCTAGGAACTCCTCCAACGGAGCAGTCTAACAGCAAACCAGGGGGGATGCGGTTGGCTTTGCATTCAGTTGCCCGCTCGGTGTTGTGGGTGTCTCATAAATATGTTGATAAAGGCTAATCATGGGGTTTTTTTTTTAAAAATACATTTTAGCAGCCTTTGATGATGCGGTGGAAGAACGTGTGATCAATGAAGAGTATAAAATATGGAAAAAGAATACTCCCTTCCTCTATGACTTGGTAATGACCCATGCACTGGAGTGGCCCAGCTTGACTGCTCAGTGGCTTCCTGATGTGACAAGGTAAACCAAAAAACGCTCTTGTCTTCTTTTTAAAGCAGAATAGAGGGTCGGTCCAGGATCAGCCTGTCTGAAGTGCTTTTTGTCCCCTTGCCACGCCAACAGCAGGTCGAGGTCTCTGAACACAAGAGAGGGAATAATTTTTAATCTGGGAAAAAGTCTGCTGTTATGGGAAAGATGTTTTCACACAATTGATTTCCAAGTTTTCCAGATTCACCCTCCCCTTTAATAAGCAAAGCAGAATAGAGGGTCGGTCCAGGATCAGCCTGTCTGAAGTGCTTTTTGTCCCCTTGCCACGCCAACAGCAGGTCGAGGTCTCTGAACACAAGAGAGGGAATAATTTTTAATCTGGGAAAAAGTCTGCTGTTATGGGAAAGATGTTTTCACACAATTGATTTCCAAGTTTTCCAGATTCACCCTCCCCTTTAATAAGCAAGAAGCTACTCAAAAATAGAACTGCTAATAGAGCTGCTAGGGAGGGCCCGGGAGTGGTGCTCTCTCAGTGTTGTGCCATGAGGATTTTAGGTTGAGATCTTGAGTTATGTATCAGGACAGGTTGGGCGCTGATCTGTTGGAGGGCAGCTCTGGGAAAAGGACCTTGGAATCCCAGTGGACAACAGGATGACCATGAGCCAACCGTGTGCCCTCACGGCCAAGAAGGCCAGTGGCATCCTGGGGTACGTTAAGAAGAACGTGGCCAGCAGGTCGAGGGGAGTTATCCTCCCCCTCTGCTCTGCGCTGGTGGGGCCTCCCCTGGAGTGCTGTGTCCAGCTCTGGGCTCCTCAGCTCAGGAAGGACAAGGAGCTACTGGAGAGGGGCCAGCGCAGGGCCACTGCGAGGATGAGGGGCCTGGAGCACCTTCCACATGAGGAAAGGCTGAGAGCTGGGGCTGTTCAGCTGGAGAAGAGGAGGCTGAGGGGGATCTTATCAATGCTTATCCATATCTAAAGGGGGGGTGTGTGGGCTCAATGTGTCCAGGGACAGGACGAGGGGCAGTGGCCATGAACTGGGAAACAGAAGGTTCAGCCTGACCATGAGGAAACCCTTCTTCCCTGTGAGGGTGACAGAGCCCTGAGCAGGCTGCCCAGAGAGGGGGGGAGTCTCCTTCCCTGGAGACTTTCCAGAGCCCCTGGACTTGTTCCTGTGTGATCTGCTCTGGGTGATCCTGCTCTGGCAGGGGAGTTGGACTGGATGATCTCTAGAGGTCCCTTCCAACTCCGTGAATCTGTGATTTCCTCTGGAGGAGGCGAGTTTGGTGTTGGAACAGGAGAGCAGTGATAACAGGGTGTTGTTAGTGTTAGAAGCTGTCACCAAAAAACCTTATTTGCTCGGTAAACCCCTTGTTTTGTTTCTCATGTAATTCTCTTGCCCTGCAGACCGGAAGGCAAAGATTTCAGTATTCACCGCTTAGTCCTGGGCACGCATACGTCAGATGAACAGAACCACCTGGTGATAGCTAGCGTGCAGCTGCCCAACGATGACGCGCAGTTCGATGCTTCGCACTATGACAGTGAGAAAGGAGGTAAGGGACCACAGATGTGGGTCAGGGGGAGTTTTGACCATTTTTTCCTTCCCCTCTCAACAGAATATTTGTCTTTCCGTAAAGTTCGAGGCAGCAACGTTCAGGTATCGCTTCTGAACTGATCAGTTTGTTTCTAAGTGGTTCCCTTACAATAGACAAATACTGTGGTGTTTATGTACGTAATGTCTTAATAAAATGGTGAAACGAGAAGGTGGCAGGCTCATTGCAAAAACCTGGGGAGGGGGAAAACCTCACCCCTCCCTGTTTCTGATCAGGAATTGATGTGGATTTTCATGCAGTACTGCCTACTGGTATTTTCATGATCACGTTTGCACTACATAAACTATTCCAGTGAGAAAGTCACTCACGTAAAAGAATATTTTATCTCAGGAGTGTAATGTTCCAGATGTTATTCTCTTGTCTGGCTTCTGCTGCCCGATAGTTGTGCCAGCCCCTCCTGCGTAAAGAGATTGTTGTATTGCGTTCGGTGTATCAGACTTGAACGTGGTGCCTTCTGCAGTCTCCGCTGGCTGACAGCACTGCTGCGGGTCAGGCTCTTCTCCCTTGCACTTGGTTGTCAGTCGTTCCACCTGCTGAAAGTCCTCGGTGACCCAGTGCTGCCTTCTCCCGAAGCCTGCGTTGTGCAATTAGTATTGTGATCTTTGGGCTTCTTGGGTTACTCATGATCACAGTGTGGTCTAATAAATACTTTGTTTCTATTCTACTTCAGTATTTCTCCAAAATAAACCACTCCAGCCCCCTCTTTTGGCTGGAACGGGGCTGTGCGAGTCGGTGAAATGCGGAGTTACCATGGCTTTGCGTGCAAAGCTCAGGGCGCTTCGGCACGCTCTGTTACGGCCCCGTACCTGAGCCGTGGTGTGGCCATGTCTTCTTACCTCAGCTTCGTCTGCGCTGCAGTGCTGAGTGTTGTTGGGTTTGGAAGTGCAGGCTCGGCACATCAGTTCCAAATGTACAACGTGCCTTTGTCACTACCCGGAGTTGGAGATACAACAAAATCCCTTGTGGTGTTACATTTGAAAGAGTATGAGAATTCCAGGCAGAAACAGTCTTTAACTGAGCCGGAGTCCCGGTGTCTTGCTGTTACAGACACAGCCAGAGGCTTAGAACAACATGCCATTTGAAAACTGGATTCTCCCAGTTATAGTTGTTCTTGTTCTTTCCAAATAAGTGCTTGGTAGTACCAGTAATTGACTCTTTGTGGCTTGATCTGAAACGGGCTTATTATTTACAACGGCTAAATTCCTATTTCCAGAGTTTGGAGGCTTTGGGTCAGTTAGTGGGAAAATTGAAATTGAAATCAAGATCAATCACGAGGGAGAAGTGAACAGAGCACGTTACATGCCGCAGAACCCCTGCATCATTGCCACGAAGACTCCCTCCAGCGATGTCCTTGTCTTTGACTACACCAAACACCCTTCTAAACCAGGTACCCACTGCTTTGTGTGAGCTTTGCAGGTTGGCCAGCCCCTCGGGAAGGGCTGAGGGAGTGACCAAGAGCTTTGTGGGTTGCATGTTGTGAGTTGAGGGGAAGTGGGCATGTAGTGTGAAAAGTGATGGATACGAGGTTTGCACAGGCGTAGAAAAATCTGTCAGAGGGGAGGGGGGGGGGCCGTGTTTGGCCCTGCCGCAGTATGTCTCGGTGTTTTGGGGGGGTGGAGGGCAGCTTTTTGGAAACCGTATGATTTCCTGGGTAGCTGAGCTGATGCTCTGTCAGTTCATTACCCCGTGAACTCATCAAGACGGAGCAGAGTAACTCGTTTTGCCATTTGCGGGGAGGCTCAGACACATTTTCACTTCCAAAGTGCACTTGGAGAAGAGAGAAAGAAAACTGCCGCACCGGCAGAGCCTCTGTAAGAGTGGGCTGAGCGGTAACCGGGGCAGCTGCTGCTCCCAGTCCAGCCAGACCAGGTGGCTGGTGCCAAAGCTTGGAGGTGGCTCCTGGGCTGCTCTGACCCTCGAGCAGTGCCGTAACACGAGTTTAGGGTAAGCGGTCGCTAGGCCACCCAGCTGAGAATGAAACCAGCCTGGGCACAAAACACCACAGGGAGAAACTGCTCTGTGGTGTTCTGGAGCATCTGGATTTAATGAGGGTATCCTTCCGCTGGGGAGCACACTCAAAGGGATAGGGAAGGATCCCACTGAAAAAGTTGGAGCGGAGTTTAACACGGCACGGTCAGACAACGCTGGGCGGTCCTGGGTGCGCGGGAAGCTATACCGGGCACTGGAGTTCTTACGCCGCCTCTTTACAGACCCTTCTGGGGAGTGTAACCCTGACCTGCGCCTCCGTGGACACCAGAAGGAAGGCTATGGGCTGTCATGGAACCCCAACCTGAGCGGGCATCTGCTTAGTGCTTCTGACGATCACGTGAGTAGTCCCGGTGTAGCTGGGGACAGCCTGTGCTGCGTGTCCCTGGGCAGAGGTCAGAATTACCGGGGTTTGGGGGGAAGGTAAAGAGAATGTCCGTGTAAAGATGCGATTTTTGAGAGGTTTTGTTTTCTCTTGAAGACCATTTGCTTGTGGGATATTAGTGCTGTTCCAAAAGAAGGCAAAGTAGTGGATGCAAAGACCATCTTCACAGGGCACACGGCGGTTGTGGAAGACGTGTCTTGGCACCTGCTCCATGAGTCTCTGTTTGGATCCGTTGCTGATGATCAGAAGCTCATGATGTAAGTGGGGTAATGCCTGGCTGCTTCTCTCCCTCCTGCTTCCCCTTCTGTGCCTCAGTCCTGCCGCAGAACGGGATAGAAACCTTGCTTTCAATTCCCTGTTTCCCCTGGCAGCTGGGACACGCGGTCGAACAACACCTCCAAACCCAGTCACTCGGTGGACGCTCACACGGCCGAGGTCAACTGCCTCTCCTTCAATCCCTACAGTGAGTTTATCCTGGCCACGGGATCCGCTGATAAGGTGCGTCTGCCTTCGACTGGGAACGTGCCCCTTTCGTTTCCGCCTGTGTATGTTGTGTGATTCCACTAAACCCTTTTGCCCTTCTCCTCTTCACTAGACCGTTGCTCTCTGGGACTTGAGGAACCTAAAGCTGAAGTTGCACTCCTTTGAATCACACAAAGATGAAATCTTTCAGGTAAAACAAAGCGTCTGTTACCTTTTACGCACGCAGACTAAGCTAGGATGTCTGGAAAAGAAACCTGTTCTTTTCCACCCTGTTTTCAACGTGTGCGTTACTCCTGGCAGCAGGCCGAGCAGGGAGTCGCAGCCCGGCAGCTGCCGTGCTCCCATCAGCTCGGTCCTGCGGGAAGGCGGCCGGTGCCTGTCAGGGGTCACCGGGACCTCCTGTGACGACCAAACAGTCAGGACCTTTGCTGGTGTAAATAGAGAGCTGACGGCATGGGCGTGGCGGATGCTGCATTTCCATCTCCAACTCTGTCCTTACTCGGGAGAAAAACATGTAGGGAGTTTTTGGTAGGATTACTAGTTGAGGCTGGAGTTGCCTTTAACAGTCGCCCACGGAATCTCGACGTGCCAGGTGAGCGTGCAGAGCTACGTGTTCATGTCTAATCCCTTAGCAGTGTGTTTTGGAGGGCTTTATCTCCCGCAGAAGTGATGAGCGTGAGCTTTTGGGGCAGCTGGGTGTAACTGCCGTGATGTCTTCCTGGTGTACCGCATACCTGCTCCCTCAGGAATCCGCAGTCGGTGCTCGTGCAACCCTTGCTAGGCAAGGAGCAGCTCGTATCCGTGAGAGCTGCTTGCACTTGGGAATGCCTGGCCTTTGTTAGAGGAGAGGTTACACAGGGTACCTTTTTGGTGCTCCGATGCCTCGGTAACGTGTGGATGTGGAAAGGCGTGTTCCCCTTTCGGGTTGTTGTCGGCTTGGATTCCCGGGGGGCGTTAACGATACGGGATGCAGTGGTGTTCGCTGGGAATGTCTGTCCTGGTATGGCTTCTTTAAACTAACTTCCCCTCTAAATTGTCCCCATCTGCAGGTGCAGTGGTCTCCCCACAATGAAACCATCCTGGCCTCCAGCGGCACCGACCGCAGGCTAAATGTCTGGGACTTGAGGTAAATCCCAAATTACTCGCGTCGTCCTGACAAAATGCTGTGGATAACCGCGTCGCGCTTCAGAACCCAGCCCAACCAACCCCCCCCTTGCATCGAATCCCTTTTTTTACAGTAAAATCGGGGAAGAGCAATCCCCCGAAGATGCTGAGGATGGACCCCCAGAGCTGTTGGTAAGTGTTCCCAATCCCACGGGTTGCTGCGACCTGGGATTCATCTCCGCCATGCGGATCTCAAAACACCCTCCTCTTTGCCTCCCCGATGCCAGTTTATTCACGGGGGTCACACGGCGAAGATCTCAGATTTTTCCTGGAATCCGAACGAGCCCTGGGTGATCTGTTCTGTATCAGAGGATAACATCATGCAAGTCTGGCAAATGGTGAGTTGCTCGGGAAGGTGCAGGAAGAGACGGGGGGGAGATGGGGAGAGGTATCGGTGTTCCTGGGCTGACTTCCTGCGCTCAGCAGGACGTGCTTCACGGCGCTGCCCGAACCTCCGAGGGGTTGTGAAATCTACTGTAGGTTCGGTCCAAACAACCGTCTGCAAACACTCAGGAGCTGGTCTGTGCTTCTCATGGTTTACAAAAAAAGACAGTTCTGGTGTAGAAGCGATTTTTTCCCCGTCTGTGTTGGAATGGAAACTGTGAGAGAGCCCAGAACTGGGGTCCCTGTTAGTTACTGCCTTAAAGACGGAGATCTCTGCGGGCGATACAGACGCCCTCCCGGGGGCCGGGGGGGGGTGGTGAGCAGGGGTTTGCTGACCCTCACCAGCCATTGAGGGCACTGGAAGACACTCCTGTGGTGTTTGATTAACCCTTGATGACACCACGCTCCTGACCTGTGTCCATGAACGGTTCGTAGCAGCCTCCCACGCGGCCGGTGCCGAGCGGAGGTGTGCGGAGCGCGTACACGGCAGTCGGTTTGGAGTGAGCCTTGCGGCGGGCTCCGTTTAAGGCAGATTTCCACGAGCTCCAGTAACTTACGGGCTGCTTGCGGAATGTTTTGGAGACGTGGCGCTTGTGGGAAAGCTCATTTGCGTTGCTGCTTTAATGGTGAACAGTCTGGAGGGGTCGGGGGGTGGCGGTTGCGCAGGACACTGCCCCAGCGTTCGGCGGTGGAGTCCGGTCAGCACGGTGGCGAGATGCTGCTGCTGCAGTCCCTCGTCTCTCTTGCAGGCGGAGAACATCTACAATGACGAAGACCCTGAGGGGAGCGTGGATCCGGAAGGCCAAGGATCCTAGATAACTGCCTTTTCCTGGTTTTTAGTCTCTTTTTTCCTTCTCTCCCCTCTCCACCCCCACGTCGACTTAACACTGGTTTTGAGACACACGTAGACTCTGTGTTCAGCTTCGTTCCGTAGGTCCCGCCAACACCTCCTTGGCGCTCCCCGGGGAGGGGGCTTAGCCCACCTCAGCCGGTGCCGTGCTGCGGCTCCTCGGTCGCTCCCGCAGCAGCCTCTTGCCAGGCCCATCTTCCCTGCCCTCGTCCCGCAGCGCCGACCCAGTTTTGTTGTTTCCCTCTGCCTTCAGCTTGCTCCGGCTGCGGGGTTTCGCCTCACTTAAACGCAGGTTGGGGGGTCGAGCTGCGGGTGCCGGAGCCAGGGAGGCGATGCCGGAGACGAGGGAGGAAGGTCTTGGCCTCCTCAGCCCCAAAGCCTTGGGATTCCTTTAGTTAATCTGCCCCTTGTGGATTTTTCTGCCTCTGCAGCTACAAACTTGCAGGTTCTGACTTGAAATTAAACTTGTTTCTGTATTTTTTT